GTTAGTTTACGAGAATAGTTGATATGAACCAAGAGACATCAATTTATCCCACCAAATTTGAGCATATTGCTTGAATTGAGCAATGCATAACAGTACCTTCTTTTCATTACTAAAATTATGACAGTTGAACACCGAATCCACCGTTTTCTCCCATTCAAGGTACTCCTCTGGATCGGTTTTGCCATAAAACTTGGGAAGTTTTAATTTGATGCTCCCCACGTTACGATCAATTCTATCATCATAAGGAACTCGTTGTTGTAAATTATGATACCTTCTTCCATGGTCTCTCCCTCGCATCAAGCCATGACCAACCGCATGTGGATTATCCTCATGGTGATCAGAATTGTCGCCCTCATATGTATCGGTTGAAGGCGTAGGTAGTGGAATCCTCTCTCAAGCTTGATTTTGAATCTCCAATCTTCCTATTCGATCAGTCAACTTCTCTATTCCTCGAATTAGTCTTTCCATGGTTCGTTGTTGTGCTTCTCTCAATTGTGCATCAGTAATGTCAGTATTGTCGTCTGGATTTTCCATGCTATAAAAGAAAGGTAAAAGAAAAAAAAAATCAAATTGAGAAGAAACGCAATGGAAACATATATCCGATCGTAAGCCTGAAGCTCTGATACCAAATGATAAGATAAGGAATCAATACAAGGGAAATAATATTCGAATTACCTTGTTGATCGAATATCTCAAGGCAAGAACATTGTTTAAGATTCGAATCACTCCACAAGCAAGATCGATCATGTCTAGCTTGAATGATTCTTGTTGATCAAATATCTCAAGGCAAGAATGCGAAGAAAATATTGTATGATTGATGTCTCTTGGTTCATATCAATAGTGTAACAACTCATGCTCATTTCGAGTAGATATGAAATCATGAGGTCGATGATGATACGTAATGGGCCAAAGTGAATAATATTTAGTAGCGGTGAGCCTGAATCGTTGCATGGTAAACGAGAAGAGTCAACTTTGGGGTTTGGTTGCCACAAAATGCCGCAATGTTTGAAACCAAATTAAAGGGTTAAACTCATGTTAAGGTGAATATATAATATTAAGGTAATGGAAATTGTGGTTCCAAGCCTTTGAAAATATTGGCCTTTTCTAATGCCTTACTTTCTAGATTATATAATGGAACCCATAATAATTATTTTGTAGATTAATTTTCCCATTACAATATATTTTATTTTCCATGCAAATGAAGAAATTCAACCCTAAGACCCGATCTACGAACAACATCATTATGACTCGATCGTGACATCAATACAGGGATCAGTTCTACATATTCATGTCAAACGCTCTATTCATAGTTTAGAAATGATGATAGAATTATGTCGTGTTCATATATATTTACTTTACTTTAGAGATGCAAATATCAAAACTAAATATGTTAATTCACTAGGGTTGAGTTGGGTTGGAAAAATCTTTTGGGTCAGTTGGGTTGGTGAGCCACTACTAAAAGATATTGTCCGTTTTGGCTCGCTACATATCGTCGTCAGCCTCACGGTTTTAAAACGAAATATACCCTCATATGGAATGTTTCGTTCCCTTCTTCAACTGATGTGGGATCTCACAATTCACCCCTTGGGGACTAACGTTTTCGTTGGCACACCGTTCGGTGTCTGACTCTAATACCATTTGTAACAACTTAAGCCCACCGCTAACATATATTAACCACTTTGGCTCGTTACGTATCGCTATTAGCCTCAAAATTTTAAAACGCGCTCATTAGGGAGATGTTTTCACATTCTTATATAAAATATTTTATTTTCCTCCCAATAAATGTGGAATCATGCCAAAATTTCATAAAGTTTAAATAATTATTTAATTTTTGTATGAAATTATGAAATTGTTGACGAAATAAGAGATGGGATATATGCCCTCATCCTTACGTCATCGTGACCACTATTTCCACTAAAACCCCAATAATAAAATTAAATATTTTATATTAATCTCTAAACAAACATTTTTGTAATGGATTTTCACGTCACACACACGTCAAAATATTAATAATTTTTTGCTAAATATTAATAAAAATATATTTATTTTATCAAATAAATGTAATTTAATTAATTTCGAGTTACCCCATTGCCGATGAGGAAGACGGGGTACTAATGATCGAAGTTTGATCACTGGTGCTTGATAACACAATGTCGTTCGATAAATAATATGAGTTTGAATAAATTCTACGATATTTATTTTCTACGTTTTTGCGATCTCACGTCGATTGGAGAGGGAAACAAAACATTCCTTATAAGTACGTAGATATGTTCTTAACAGACACGTTTTAAAACTATAAAACTGACGATAATACGTAACAAGCCAAATAAGACAATATTTGCTAGCGTCACAACGAAGCACGAATGGTAGATGGAGAAGAAACATATAATAATTCATGTTTAAAGGAGGAAATTTTCAAGGCCAAAGAAAGGTTTGTCCAAGCAGCTTCCATGTCTTCTTCAACTCCTCTGCATCCTCCATTGTTACACAGCTAAAGAACTCAAACCCACTACCATTTTCGGACCCATCAAGCTTCCTCTCAAAGCTACCAACCCTTTCGAGATCATCGTCGTCGTGGTCGTCATGTCCATAGACTCCGATTAAAGCCTTCAATAACACCAACAATGACGCCATTTTGAGGAGGTAATATTTTCATGGTGGTATATATATATATATATATATATATTGTTTATGGTGAGGAGTTGGTGATCTCCATGCCAAATCTTCCAAGGGGTCAATGAGGGTTGGACTGCTCTTACTTTTGTTAATCTTTTGGGTTAAGTGTTTGTAGGATTTCCAAACTTTTGTTAGGAAAATTAGGATTTAACTTCAAATTAGGTTAGTTTTTTCATTATGCAAGTCGGATCGGAAGGGATGTTTCCAGTGGCGAAAGGGTGAGTAACGCGTAAGAACCTTCCCTTGGGATGGGAACAACAGCTGGAAACGGTTGCTAATACCCTGTACGCTGAGGAGCAAAAGTAGGAATCCGCCCGAAGAGGGGCTTGCATCTGATTAGCTAGTTAGTGAGGCAATAATTTACCAAGGCGATGATCAGTAGTTGGTCTGAGAGGATGATCAGCCACCCTGGGATTGAGACATGACCCAGACTCCTACGGGAGGCAGTAGTGGGGAATTTTCCGCAATGGGCCGAAAGCTTTTTTCGATATTTCTTTTTATTTTTCATCAAATGAATGACGTCTTATTGAGAAAAATCCTAGCTATTCTTAGCATGATATTGGGGAATCTCATTATTATTACTCAAACAACCATGAAACCTATGATTGCATATTCGTCTGTCGGTCAAATCAGATATGTAATTATTGGAATAATTGTTGGAGACTCAAATGGTGGATATGCAAGCGTGATAAAGTAGAGGGCCGAAAATCCTCGTGTAATAAAATAGAAAATATCATTTTAAAATGATTAAATTTAATTATATTATTTAAATAATATAAATTAGAAAAGAAGCTTAAAAGAAAAAACCCAGCCCAATAGTAAGCCCAAAAGTTCAGCCCACTTTATAAAATAAAACAAAAATAAAATTTTAAAAAATAAGAGATCCCCAAGGATCCAACTTCTTCCTCCGAGTTTCACTCACTCTTCCCGCCAAAACCTCGCCTTCGTCCAGTGCCGCCACCGCCACCGCCTCCGCCTCCGCCTCCTCCTCCCTCCCCCTCGGCTTTGCAAATCAGTGCACCGGTAACCTAACATTTCTCCGTCCCTCTCTCATCGTCAAGTGCAGGTTGTTTTTGGAAGTATTGATGTTTACCTCTTTTTGCTAATAAATATTAGCAAAAAACTGTTGATATTGATTCATGTTACATTAACTTTTATGTATTTAGCAATTGCTTGTTGTCTCTCCTGTTTTGCGTTCCACCGCTTGATACGTTTGGATCTTGAGTTTTTGAAGAATCGCAATTGTAACTATTTAGGTTTGGTTCTTGTGGGATAATTTTGTTTATGTTGTACGCATTAGGCGGGGTGGATTGAATTTTTCTATGTAATTGGTCCTCTTTCATGTTTTCTATTGGTTTGGTTTCTTTAATCTAGAGCCTCAATGATCGATTGGAGAGGGGAATGAGTGGCAGCGAGGACACTGGCCCCTAAGGAGTGGATGGTTAGATCCTACGTCGGTTGGAGAGGGGAACGAAACATTTTTTATAAGGGTGTGGAAGCCTCAACCAAGTGGATGCGTTTTAAAAATCTTGAGGGAAAGTTTGAAAGAAAAAGTTCAAAGAAGACAATATCTGCTAACGGTAGGTTTGGATCGTTACACTCGAAGAATGTGTTTTGGTTGGAACTAATAGACTTGATGCCATTAAGGGTGAGCTGGAGAAACTATTCCTGGATAAGGTTCGTGTAAAAAGTTGTCTGTAAACCTGTTGGTTAGCCCTATTCAATTTACTACGCTTGTACTGAGATGAACTTTGTCATGAATGTGGTTGCAAACTTGGGGGCTCTGTATTTCTGTTTATGATATAAGATCGGTTGATAGGGGCTTTATCTTTCCCAGTGATGGCGTTGCAATGTACAAGGTACTCGTGCACTGTTGTATTTCTTCTTCAAGATTGAACCATTAAAGTTCCTTTGTTACCTAGTGTCAATGCGACGTGTAACAGCTAAGCCCGCCACTAGAAGATATTGTCTACTTTGGCATGTTATGTATCGTCGTCAGCCTCACGTTTTTAAAATGCCTCTACTAGGGAGAGGTTTCCACACCCGTACAAGGAATGCTTCGTTCCCTCTCCAACCGATGTGGGTTCTCACAGACTATGACAGTCAACGATATGACATATATGAAACGGATGAGGTTTGTGAATCATGTTAATTGTAGGTTTAAATCTAAGTTTAGTCCTTTTAACTTTTATACTTATTTCATTTGGGTGCTTAAACTTTGAAATGTTTTTGCGCCCATGATTGTTACTGTATCTCACTCACTCTCAACTTCTACCACTTCCTCTACTCATTTGCGCCAATCTTATTGATATGTGTGTAGTCAGAGGAAGATTGGTTTATAGTTGGGATATCAATTTTGATGAGTATGAGTACCCATCCAACGAATTTTAGAATCGGTTTGAAATGACTTTTCAACGTTTGGGAGACAAGGGTAGCCCTCGACCCTAGAACACCAAATTTCACTTCACTGTCACCCCTAATTTATATCACAATATCATATCCTTTCCATTACGTAGCAACTACTCTATTAATGAGGCTTAGTTTTTTGTGGTGTAGGCAGCAATTGATTGTGATGGAGTGGGGACCTATTTCATGATGGAATGGCTCGGGAGATGCCGATGCTGAGGCCGAGGTCGAAGTCGAAGAAGATTCCTAAGGTCAACATCCTATTTTGCTACTATAACAAATTGTCATTCATTCATTCATTCATACCTTTGTATTATATATCATTATCACTAGGCATAGGCGTGATAGTCCCTAGTTAGTACTCTTATCTCAACTTCATCTTGTATAAGAATTAGTATAGAAAGTGAGGAGATTCAAATTCTACTTCTCTCCTCACATGGTATGCATAATCAGGAAAAAAAAAACGCTTTGTTTGATAACCATTTAAAAATGAACGAGGTATTCCCTCTTTCGTCCCACGAGTAGGGATGAGTGGATTGTAACTTTAGCACTTCGTATAGAATGGTTTGAGGGAAACAAATTGATACATTAAGATGTGATGGAAACTAAGTAACTAACGAGAAGATAAAGCTTAGTTTTGTCATTGCTTGGTAGCAAGTCATTGTTGTGTAGGTGTACCTAATCTTTTTGTATACATTTTGCCGTCCCAACAGTTCAATTTTTGCCTTCCTCAAAAGAATGCATATTTAAGATGCCCTTATTCCTTCAAATTTGCTATATACCTTTAACTTTTCATCGACGTTTTAAAAGTATTTTGGAGTAGAAACCGGTTAGAGTCTTGGACGAGAGGTTGATATAACGAAACACCATTCTTTCTAACTTAATCCATGCAACAAACGTCCCTATCAACTTAGGTCATTCCAAATCAGTGCCAAGTTGATTTTTCGTCTAGCATTTTAATTGATTATACTGCAATGGTAGTTTTGAAACGTTTTATGAAATATCAAAGGTATTATTGTGAGATCCTACATCGGTTGAAGAGGAAAACAAAATGTTTCTTAAAAGAGTGTGGAAACCTTTCCCTAGCAAACGTAGTTTAAAACCTTAAGGGAAGTCTAGAAGGGAAACCCAGAGAGGACGACAATATATGACAACTCGCTTGGACAGTTACAATTATTGCAACTTTTGAAAGATTAGAGATATTTTTCAAAAAGAGGATAAAGTTCAAGGGTATCTTTATAATATAATAGCAACCAAAACAAGAACCTAACAAATTTAAAAGTTTAAGGGCAAATAGATCAAAGTGAGACCTATATGTCAATACTTTTTCGAATCAACGTGATGTTTCGACTATACATGATATAGAATACAACGTCCAAATACATATACTATTTACAATCACTACCCCTATCTTTAAGCATTTGGCTTTGAACCCAAATGAACGTGTTCTTTTAAACCCTAATAAACATGATCATTAGCCTAATCAAACTATAAGTAGTTGTTAAGAAGCTTTGAAGAGATTAAGACGAGAGTCGGCTAATCTAAGAGAATAAGCAGCTTTCTTGTATTGAGCCCAAGTGAAAGGCTTATATAGAGATTGGTCCTTGGTGAGCATCATATCTGATGGAGGAGCTATCCATGCATTCAATGGTGGTGCCCCAAAGTACATGATTGACATTCTTGCCTTCTTTGAGTTGTTTGCCATTGCCCTATGCCTCACGCTTACAAATCTATCATTTGTCATTGCCTAATCAAAAACAAGAACAAGTCTCAATAACCCATTTTGTAAATGTTTTTGCTTCTAATGTTCGTGATCATGTTTCGTTCTTTAGGTTTTAAGTACAAAAATCGACGTCTCGTTTGACACTAGACTTGTTACGTGCATCTTATATAATAGTTTTTATACTTTGATCTACAGATGAATGACATAGAATTTACCTGAAAAGCATCACCAATCAAGACGTAGAACGCAGACGGGTCGGGACATACAGGTGTCCACAACCCGTCGTGCAAGGAGATTTGGAGGCCATCCACATCGTTCGATCTCAAGATGGTCAAGATCTGAGGGTCAGAATGCTCCCCAAATCCAATCTTGTTAGTTGAAAGGTGGGATTTTGATGAAAGTTCCCTACTTTTTTCAGTGTGCTTGACTGCTGCAGGGTAGTAATTGATCCTCAAAACTGAATCACTTTGGACGTCTCTGATGAGGTTACTGAAGACAGACTTGTTTGGTAACCATAGACCCTCCCCCACCAGATCAAGAATCTCACATGCTAATTCTCTTACACATTTAACGTACTCATTCACAACATAGCTGCATCAAATTAAGATATCAGACGACATGTCGACATAAATCAATGTTTCAGTTAAAAACTCAATTTTTTTCTTCTAGCTAAGCAGTACCTAAAACCAAGAGGGCTGTTGGAGATGGAGGCGGAGGTTTCAGCAATGGATGCAGGGTCGGAGCGAAGAAGGATATACTCGAGGTCGCCGATGTCGCCGTTGGGGCCAATGGCTTTGCAGCCATAGCCAAAGGGGGCAGCAGGGCCAGCTCGGCGCTTCTCGGGCGCTGTTTGGCCAAAGAAATCAAAGGCTTGGCGTTCAAGATTAGCAATGGCATGGTCAGAAACTCCATGGTTGATGACTTTGAAGATGCCAAAGTGCTCGCAGGCCTCAACAATGGATTTGGAAGTTCTTGCTCTGCTTTCGGAGAGATCTATGGTCGGAATTCCGACGGCCTTTGTCTTTTTGGATCTCATGGCTGTCGGAAAAGGCATGGTTCGAGGAAAAAAAGGTTGAAGATTTGATTAAAAATTTTGGTGTTGGTTTGGAGTTGTAGCCATGATAGAAGGAGGAGCAACCTCGTATTTATACAAGGCTTTTAGAGAGAGAAAGAGAGAGTTTTGAGCTGATTAAATTAAAGGACAACTTGGGACAAGAATTATTTTAGAATATTAGGATGTTTTTTTTTAATACATGTGACGAATATAAATAAAATATATGTATATATATATATATGCTTCCCAATTATTATTAATACGAAACCCAAAAATATTTGAAAATTTTTCATCTAATATATATAATATATAAAAATGTTATTCGATTGTGAAAGTCTCATTAAATAATTTTTTATTAATTTCTTATGGTTTAGATCTTTTTTAAAAAATAAAATAATTATCCAACGGAATCTTGATAATAGATTAATAGATTTAATACTACCGTGAAAAATCCTAGCTTTAAAATTTTAAATTAAAATATATATGCACATTTTATTACAAGGACTAGTTCATGATATATACATTTTGCCTAAGAGAGTTACAATTAAGATAAAGATGAAAATTATATAATAATTGCTTTAATTAATTAAGATCGGGTGTTTATTAACTTTTTAAAATCATTTATTTCAAACATTATATCAGAGCCATGCCCTAAACTTAATCGTACTAATAGTTTAGTAAATTCTCAAACGTGGAAGGACTCCAAAAGAAAAAGAGTCAAACCTCCTCGAAGACATAGTAAGAAATGACTAAGACTCAAAATGAGTCGAGCCTCGATTAAGGGGAGGCGTACTTTGTTCGAGGGGAGGTGTCGAATGACGTAAGTCCCACATCGGCTAATTTAGGGAATGATCATGGGTTTATAACAAAAAATACTCTCTTCATTGGTACAAGCCCTTTTGGAGAAGCTCAAAACAAAGCTACGAGACTTTATGCTCAAAGTGGACAATAACATACCATTATGGAGAGTCGTGTTCGGTCTTTCCTCTTTTGACTCGAACATACGACTATTTAATTAATAATAAAGTGAAAATCCAACCTTTACGATTTTAAAAAATAAATTATTAATAACCTTACCTAATCCAATATTAATTTTCACATAATCATTTTTTAGTTAAAAGCTACCCAAGTATTTGATAGGAATTTGTGTAATTGAGAGAAAAAGACAACCTGGTCGCGGCTGTTTGTCTCCCGATGCTTGCATTCTTGTCACATAAATTATTTATTTATTTCATTTTTTTTTTAAAATTGAAGCCAAAGTCTCCTCCACGTTGCCTTTAATATTTGACTTTTTCTCTCCGTTTGACTCCTTTGCACGTGCACCACCACCCCTCCCCTACTTTCTTAGGTCCTTCCCTTCCCCCTTATCCACACGAGAGAATCTTAGCCTAAATTATACATTATTTTTATAGACGTTCACACGACCCGACCCTAAGAAAAATGCCTTTTTGTTTCTGTTTCTGTCTTCTATTTCAATTTATATTCTCACAGTTAATTTTACCTCAAATAATAGTTTTTCTCTTTTTCTATATATATATATATATAAATACAGTTATATAATAAATTAGATTTTATAATATTAATACATAAAATGAGACGTTACCGAATTACGGATAGGAGTAGAGAATATAATCTAAGAACCAATCTCGCCGAACGACGAGAATAATGTTTTTAATTTTTTTTAAAGATAAAATAAAATTATAATTAAGTGAAAAGTAAAAGTGGATTAATGAATATATTAATGTGTTTGGTCACCCAGTGAAGGGACAATGAACAGTAAAAGTCAAAGTGAATGTGGAGTTCCAACGTGGTATAGACAGCAATTGTTTCCCCATTTTCCAATTTAATTAATTTATTTTATAGTAATTAAAACAATATTTACATTTTTCTAAATTAAATTAATTGACTTTTTTTTTTTCATTCCAAATTTCTTTCTAATAAATAAATAATTTTTTTATTTGAGTTTGGTTTAATTTTTTAAAAATTGAAAAGTCCAGGTTGATTCATGGTTTGACATTTTTTGAGTCAGGTCAACTCGACCCGTTGTAAGACAGAGAATTATATCATTAATTGGAAAAGTGTCGAATTAAAGAAAAGTTAATTAATTAATAAAAATTATTATTGTAATTAAAATTTAATTAATTATTTAAAAAAATAGACAAGGCCGGCCAACACCATTACCAAACATGAAGGACAAGACAAAAACATATAAATATTTGGAGATAAACTTTTCCTTTCAATTTAAATATTGACAAAAATAAAATCAGGTGGGTCCCCAATCTCAAATATTTTGCCACGTGGCACACTTACATGCTCCACGCTGTCAATATGCGAATTGACATGTTACCCTAATAATTTCGTTTTAAAATATATATTTGAACGAACTCATTTAAATTAATAAATTATAATTTTAATCAATAATTTTTATTTATGTTGTGCTCATACATTGGGTATGTTTTTTTTTTAAAAAAAAAAATAGTTATTTATGGATTATTTTATAAGAAAAGTACGTGATTTATTATATTTCTAAAATATAAATATTATTTTATCGGTTAAAATCCACCACTAGCCAATATTGTCCGTTTTGCCGTGTTATGTATCACATTCAACCTCACAATTTTAAAACGTGTCCGTTAGAGAGAGATTTTTACACCATTTTAAAGAATGTTTCGTTCCTCTCTCCAATAATGAGGTCGACAATAATACGTAACGAGCTAAAGCAAATAATATTTGCTAATAATGATGAATTTAAGCGTAAGGAAAGAAATAAAAAAATAAAAATATGTGATACCACTCTCTATAATTTTCTTCCTCTTATCATTTCCTTTCTTTTCAATGTTTTGTTAGTACTCATAACCATAGCCATAGAGACTACTCTTCTTAACCTTTCTTTATAGGTAGGTTTATTGGACTAGCATCTTGCACAAATATAGGTATCTTTTATCTCAATCACAATCCATTTTGTGTAGCTTCAACAAAGAATCTTAGGGAAAGTGAGCCAAAGATTATGTTCAAAATCTTAGATTCCAAACATTTCCCATCACCAAACTCATCTTCATACTCGAACGTTGATGGAGTAAGTATCAATTCCTATAACGTTTTGAAAAAAATACTATCTTTTTTGGGCTTTCCTTCAAGGTTTTTAAAACGCGTTTGTTAAAGAGAGGTTTCCACACCTATATAAAAAAGGTTTCGTTCTCCTCCCCAACAAATGTGAGATATCACAGGTAATCTTAATCAAAAGGGGTTTTTTAGCCCATAGATACGTACATATCTAGGTATGTGTATCTATGTAAAACTATATTTATGTTATTTTTTGCTGAGGATATTTGTTATGTTAAGGGGTGTTAAGGATATTTAGTAATAAATTATAGTTTACCATATATATTATATTTGATATTTTATTATAAGGAAAATATCTAACATTTGCCTTATTACTATAGGTATCTTTCCATTTATTGTTATTTTCATTTATTACTATTTCCATATCCTTGTAATTTATTTGATTATAAATAAGATAACTTTCACACCATTTAGGTGTGGTGGATTCAGCAAACATTCACAAGGGGGTTCATGAATGTACTGAGACGTATTCGAATGAGAACAATCTCGAGAATAGGATGAGTAAGATAGACTTAAAAAAAATTGAAAGTTATTACCTATACCAACAAGGCACGCCTTACTTTTTGGTGGTCTAATCATTGAAACTCCAAAATTAAGCGTGTTTTGCTTGGAACAATTTATGTTAGATGATCTCCTGAAATTTTTCTAAAAAGCATGTGAGTGAGAATAAAACATGCTAACATGACTCGTGTTTGTTTGTGGGAATCGTCTTTACTGTTAGTAACGAGGAGTAAGTAACATAACTATATTGTATTTAGAGTTCAATAAAGATATTTCGTTAGGTTCTTGTTACTCGATAGCTCGTGCTAGGTATAGTAGGGAATATGAAAAGTGACCCACAAAATGAAAAAAAAAATGAGGTAAACAAGGTTGGTTTAGAAGCTAAAAAAGACAAAGGGAGAGAACCATTGAAACGACATCCATAGAAACTTCTACCATCTTTAAAATTTAACACCTTTTTTCTATTTGGTCCTCCAAGTTTCAAAAATAATATATTTAGTCTTCAAAATTTAAATTTACATGTACTATAATAGCTTAAACCTAGCGGATATTGTTCGTTTTGGCCCGTCAGCCTCACGGTTTAAAAATGTATTTGCTATGGAGATGATCT